GCTACAGTGAGCTACATTGGCACCATTGCACTCCAGCCCAGTCACAGAGTGAGGCCCTGTCTATTGAAGAATATATATCTGGGCCGGGCACGGTGGCTCATACGTGTAATCCCAGCACTTGGGGAGGCTAAGGCGGGTGAATCACAAGGTCAGCAGTTCAAGACTATCCTGACCAACATGGTGAAACCCCATCTCTACTAAACATGCAAATGTTAGCCGCACGTGGTGGTACACACCTGTAATCCCAGCTACTCAGAAGCCAGAGGCAGGAGAATTGCTTGAACCTGAGAGTCGGAGGTTGCAATGAGCGTAGACCACGCCAATGCACTCCATCCTGGGCGACAGAGTGAGACTCCATCTCAATTAAGAAAAAAAAAAAAAAGACCTCCTTTAATTCCACCCTGAGCTGCTAGAAAACCACCATCAGGTAGCCAGGAACGACCTTTGGAGAACACATGCAGCACCTTCCAGGTACCATCCACTTGTTTACCTGTTCTTCTGCCTGGGGACTCAGTAGGAAGGTGGTCTTGTCCCCAGGAGCCCACATCCCTCCAGCAAATGTTTATTTTATTTTATTTTTATTTATTTATTTATTTATTTATTATTTATTTATTTATTTTTGAGACGGAGTTTCGCTCTCGTTACCCAGGCTGGAGTGCAATGGCGCGATCTCGGCTCACTCCGCCTCCTGGGTTCAGGCAATTCTCCTGCCTCGGCCTCCTGAGTAGCTGGGATTACAGGCACGCGCCACCACGCCCAGCTAATTTTTTGTATTTTTAGTAGAGATGGGGTTTCACTATGTTGACCAGGATGGTCTCGATCTCTTGACCTCGTGATCCACCCGCCTCCCCAAAGTGCTGGGATTACAGGCTTGAGCCACCGTGCCTGGCCGGTATTTATTTATTTTGAGACAGAGTCTTGCTCTGTCGCCCAGGGGGGACTGCAATGGGGTGATCTCAGCTCACTGCAACCTCTGCCTCCTGGGTTCAAGCAATTCTCCAGCCTCAGCTTCCTGAATAGTTGGGAATACAGGTGTGTACCACAGTACCCGGCTAATTTTTGTATTTTTAGTAGACATGGGTTTTCACAATGTTGGCCAGGCTGGTCTCGAACCCCTGACCTCAGGTGATCTGCCCGCCTTGGCCTCCCAAAGTGCTGTGATAACAGGTGTGAGCCACCACACCGGGCTTTTGTGGTCACGGAATGGTTTTATGTGATGTTGGTGTCCTGGAGATTACTTATGTTTGACAAGAGAACACCAAGACCCAGCTGTGAACGTCTGGCCAGCTCTCAGTGAAACAGAACAGGAACAGGACAGAGCTTCTCCTCTACATACTTTCTCTTTTTCCTTCTCTTGTCTCACTGATCAGAAAACCCACAGCATTACCTCGCTAATGACATACCTGCTAACCCCAAGGCTTTAGTCATACAAACAGCCATTCTTCTATGCTCTCGTAACATTTAATCAGGCCTCTTATTTAAAGAATTCCAGGCCGGGCGCGGTGGCTCAAGTCTGTAATCCCAGCACTTTGGGAGGCCGAGGCAGGTGGATCACGAGGTCGAGAGATCGAGACCATCCTGGTCAACATGGTAAAACCCCATCTCTACTAAAAATACAAAACATTAGCTGGGCATGGTGGCGCGTGCCTGTAATCCCAGCTACTCAGGAGGCTGAGGCAGGAGAATTGCCTGAACCCAGGAGGCGGAGGTTGCGGTGAGCCGAGATCGCGCCATTGCACTCCAGCCTGGGTAACAAGAGCGAAATTCCGTCTCAAAAAAAAAAAAACAACAAAAGCTTCATTACAAGGGGAGCCAAACAGCCTATAGTCTGTAACATCAGATGTGAGCAACAGCTTTTCTTTCTATCTCTCTTGCTCTCTCTCTCTCTCTTTTTTTTTTTTTTTTTTTTTTTTTTTTTTTTTTTTGAGATGGAGTCTTGCTCTGTTGCCCAGGCTGGAGTGCAGTGGCACAATCTCAGCTCACTGCAACCTCCATCTCCTAGTTTCTAGTGATTCCCCTACCTCAGCCTCCCAAGCAGCTGGGATTATAGGTGCGTACCACTATGCCCAACTAATTTTTTTTTTTTTTTTTTTTTTTAGACAGAGTTTCGCTCTTGTTACCCAGGCTGGAGTGCAATGGCGCGATCTCGGCTCACCGCAACCTCCGCCTCCTGGGTTCAGGCAATTCTCCTGCCTCAGCCTCCTGAGTAGCGGGGATTACAGGCACGTGCCACCATGCCCAGCTAATTTTTTGTATTTTTAGTAGAGACGGGGTTTCACCATGTTGACCAGGACGGTCTTGATCTCTTGACCTCATGATCCACCCGCCTCGGCCTCCCAAAGTGCTGGGATTACAGGCTTGAGCCACCGCGCCCGGCCCCCAATTAATTTTTGTATTTTTAGTAGAGACAGGGTTTCACCGTGTTGGCCAGACTGGTCTCGAACTGCTGACCTCGAGTGATCCACCCATCTCGGCCTCCCCAGGCATAAGCCACCATGCCAGCATTTTCTCTTTCTCAAAATCAGCTAAACAAAAAATCAGGCTTTTGCGCCGGGCGCGGTGGCTCAAAAAAAAAAAAAAAAATCAGGCTTTTAAAAAATTAAAGTTAGTTTTTTAAAATCTTACTGAGGACTGTAACCAGGGAAAATCTTTCACAGTTTGTTAAACTGCTTCAAAACAGAGTTTCAGCACACATTTATATTTATATACAGTTTATATAAAAACATTTATATACAGTTGGTGGTCCCCTGCATGTGCTCAGAAGTTATATCAGGCCAGGCACAGTGGCTCATGCCTATAATCCCAGCACTTTGGGAGGCGGAGTCCGGGGCGGGGGCAGATCACCTAACGTCAGGAGTTCGAGACCAGCCTGGTCAACATGGTGAAATCTAGTCTCTACTAAAAATACAAAAATTAGCCGGGCATAGGGGGCTGCCTCTAATCCCAGCTACTCGAAGGCTGAAGCAGGAGGATTGCTTGAACCCAGGAGGTGGAGGCTAAGTGAACCGAGATTGAAGCACTGCACTCTATCCTGGGGTACAGAGTGAGACTCTGTCTCAAAAAAAAAAAAAGTTATCAAATGTGCTCACAAGTTACAATAGAGCCAAATTTCATCAAGGCTTGGGTGTGACAGTACATCTAGTTATAGATTATAGAGGACTTGACTGGGTATGGTGACTCACACCTATAATCTCCGTCAGCACTTTGGAAGGCCCAGGCGGGAGGATTGCTTGAGCCCAGGAGTTCAAGACCAGCGTGGGCGTCACAACACCTTGTCTCTACAAAAACTAAAAATAAAAAAAATTAACTGGGTGTGGTGGCATGCACCTGTAGTCTCAGCTACTCAGGAGGCTCAGGTGGGAGGATTGCCCGAATCCGGGAGTTCAATACTGCTGTGAGCTATGATCACATCCCTACACTCCAACCTGGGCAACCAAGTGAGACCCTGTCTCTTAAAAAAATAGAGAGAGAGAGGCATAATCATTAATCCTGTCAGAGATTATGTACAGGAAGAGGCAAGGTTATTACTGAGCTTGTCTTTTCTTTTTCTTTTATTTTTTGAGACAGTCTCGTTCTGTCGCCGAGGCTGGAGTGCAGTGTCACAATCTGGTCCCACTGCAGCCTCCACCTCTTAGGTTCAAGGGATTCTCCTGCCTCAGGCCCCCCAGTATCTGGGATTACAGGCACACACCACCACCACCAGCTAATTTTTGTATTTGTATTTATTTATTTATTTAGAGATGAGGTTTCACCATGTTAGCCAGGCTGGTCTCGAACTCCTGACCTTAGGTGATCCACCCACCTCAGCCTCCCAAAGGGCTGGGATTACAAGCGTGAGCCACCATGCCCGGCTAAGTTTTGTATTTATTTATTTATTTTTATTATTATTTTTTTTTGAGACGGAGTTTCGCTCTTGTTAACCCAGGCTGGAGTGCAATGGCGCGATCTCGGCTCACCGCAACCTCCGCCTCCTGGGTTCAGGCAATTCTCCTGCCTCAGCCTCCTGAGTAGCTGGGATTACAGGCACGTGCCACCATGCCCAGCTAATGTTTTGTATTTTTAGTAGAGACGGGGGTTTCACCATGTTGACCAGGCTGGTCTCGATCTCTTGACCTCGTGATCCACCCGCCTCGGCCTCCCAAAGTGCTGGGATTACAGGCTTGAGCCACCGCGCCCGGCCCAGTTTTGTATTTTTAATGGAGATGAGGTTTCACCGTGTTGGTCAGGCTGGTCTCAAACTCCTGACACCTCGTGATCCGCCCGCCTCGGCCTCCCAAAGTGCTGGAATTACAGGCGTGAGCCACGGCGCCCGGCCTGAGCTTGCGTTTTCTAAAAATGCAGTGATTCAGGCAAGAGAGGCAGGAACCTGTGTTCTCTCTCTCTCCTGCTTATTGTTCAGGGCGTCATCGGAGAGGACTGTGCTCAGAGTCAAGGCCTTTGTGAAATCCTGCTCGCACCCAGAATGAGCAGACATGGTTCCTTAGGTCTCACTACGAAGACTCATTCATTGGCAGAGGTGTATTTGCGGGGGGCCAGGTATAGAGTAATCGGAGGAGGACAAAGGAGGCAGGCTCAGTCTTCAGGGAGCTCAGTGACGTGTTTGCGCTGTCTTATGTAAACAGGAGATTGTCAGAAATGGAGGAGGAAGGACCAGACCCAACGAAGGGCTAGGACAAAGCCCGGAGGCGAGGAGAGCCAAGGGGGAGGAAGTGCCGAGAGCATCAGTAGGACTGCGCCGTAGCACAAAGACGCCCGTGGGGACTGGAGAGGCCGGCTGGGGCCAGGCTACTCAGGCACGGAGGGCCACCTCCCCACCAGGGACGTGAGCGTACAGCTGCACTCGTCTGTTGTTCAGGAACAGGAGATGAAAACCCGCAGCTTTGATCACAATAACCCACGCCGGTCTCGGGCTCATGAATATTCAGCAGGCTGCTTCCGGCTCAAAACCCCGCCTCCGTCCCCTCTCTGTGGAGACTGCGCATGCGTTGCCGGCGCGCGGCTCTGTCGTCATACTTGCGCGCCGCCGCAGCTCGCTGGGAAAACAGGACGGGTGTCATGGCGAGCTCAGCCGCCTCCTCGGTGCGACCGCCGAGACCCAAGAAAGAGCCGCAGACGCTCGTCATCCCCAAGAATGCGGCGGAAGAGCAGAAGCTCAAGCTGGAGCGGCTCATGAAGAACCCGGTGAGACAAGGCCCGGGCTCCGAGGCCCACCTCCTTCCTCTGTGGCGCCTCTGGGTTCCCGCGGGTCCATCTTCCTCGCTTCCAAATTCAGAAACTCAGTATCTGCCCCTCCCAGAGCAGTCTTTGGGGAGGAGGAGGAGGCTGTCCTAGGGATAGTGAACTTCCCGTCTGTCCTTGTGTGAGAGCCCAGCTTGGATGAAGGCACGGTGAAGCGGCTTCCCGTGCCCTAAGGCCCCTTCTAGTTGAACTTTCTGTGAACAAAAAGCGTTAGACTGAAGAGGTAGAATTTGTGCGTTAGCAAAGGGTATATTCTAAACAACACTGATCGTTAGACAGTGGCCGAGACGTTTGGAGTGAGTCACTCCTCTCCTGCCCACACCCCCTCCGGGTCTCGGTCTCCTGGATCATGAAAACGATTGAATGAGAACGTCCTTTATATCTTTTTTTTTTTCTTTTTTTTTTAAAATAGACACCGTGTTGGTCAGGCTGGTCTTGAACTCCTGACTTCAGGTGATCCGCCCGCCTTGGCCTCCCAAAGTGCTGGGATTACAGGTGTGAGCCACCGCGCCCGGCCGTCCTTTATATCTTTAGCTAGAAAGGCTCGACTCTTCTCCCCTAGTAGTGTTAAAGTTGGCAGTTTCTAGCTGGAAACTATGGCTTAGGTGTCTCAGTTCTGCTCCGGAAAGTGTAGCCCTGGGAAAGTGTGGACTGTGTTATGCCCAACAGTACATAGGATGAAAAAAGACACGACAGACGGAAAACACAAAATCAGCTCTGTGCCCAGGTAGCAAAGCAATTCTGCTTTATTAGTCCAGTTGAAATTCTTTGGTCATAAGAGATGTAATTTGGGCTGGGTGCTGTGGCTCCTGCCTGTAATCGCGGTGCTTTGGGATGCCAAGCAGGAGGATGGCCTGAGGTCAGGAAGGAGTTCAAGACCAGCCTGGGCAACATAGTGGGTCCCTGTCTGTACAAAAATTTAAAAATTGCCTGGCGTGGTGGCACTCACTTGTAGTCCTAGCTACCCTGGAGACTGAAGCAGGAGGATCACTTGAGCCCAGGAGTTCAAGGCTGCAGTGAACTATGATTACACCACTGCACTCCAGCCTGAGGGACAGACCAAGAACCATCTCTAAAAAAAGAGACAGGCCGGGCGCGGTGGCTCAAGCCTGTAATCCCAGCACTTTGGGAGGCCGAGGCGGGTGGATCACGAGGTCAAGAGATCGAGACCATCCCGGTCAACATGGTGAAACCCCGTCTCTACTAAAAATACAAAAAATTAGCTGGGCATGGTGGCGCATGCCTGTAATCCCAGCTACTCAGGAGGCCGAGGCAGGAGAATTGCCTGAACCCAGGAGGTGGAGGTTGCGGTGAGCCGAGATCGCGCCATTGCACTCCAGCCTGGGTAACAAGAGCAAAACTCCGTCTCAAAAAAAAAAAAAAAAAAAAAAAAGAGACAGATGTGATTTTGTCGAACGTTTATATTTAGAATGCTTTCGTGTTTAAATGTTGCAGGACAAAGCAGTTCCAATTCCAGAGAAAATGAGTGAATGGGCACCTCGACCTCCCCCAGAATTTGTCCGAGATGTAATGGGTAATGTCTTTGTGTGTGTGTGTGTGTGTGTGTCTGTAAATAGAATTTTTTAAGGTAGATATAAAAACCCTGTAGTTAGTATTTGTTAAATCTGTGAGGAGGGAAAATATTCACTTGTTCAGTGTTTTGCTTTTACAATGATGGGGATATAGTTGCTTTTATTTATTTGTTCGTTTGACATCAGTAAATTTAGCTTAAGGGTTATAGCTGCCTATGGTTTGGCACTGGAGAATTTTCTCCTGCATTATTGCATTTTTTTTTTTTTAATTTTTATTTTTTGAGACAGTCTCACTCTGTCACCCGGGCTGGAGTGCAGTGACACTGTCTCTGCTCCCTGCAACCTCCTCCTCCCATTTTCAGGCTATTCTCCTGCCCCTCCTGAGTAGCTGGGGCAGAATCACCTGAGCTTGGGAGGCCAAGGCCTTGCAATCCTCCTACCTCAGTCTTCCAAGTAGCTGGGACCACAGGTGTGCACCACCACACCTGGCTAATTTTTGTATTTTTTAGTAGAGACTGGGTTTCACTGTGTTGACCAGGCTGGTCTTGAACTCCTGACCTCAGGTGATCCACCTGCCTCGGCCTCCCAAAGGGCTAGGATTACTGCTGTGAGCCACCCTGCCTGGCCATCTTCTGCATTATTCTTAATAATGCATTGTGGTTTTTTGTAAGTAGAAATGATTTTATTATTTTGTTGGATCATAAATATCTGCAGTCATACCATGGAGATAGTGCAGCTTTAGTTCCGGGCCACCTAGTTAAAGTGAGTGTCGCAGTAAAGGGAATCATAGAAATTCTTTGGTTTCCCAGTGCATATACAAGTTTTGTTTATATTCTACTGTAGTTTGTTTAATGTACAGTAGCATTATGTCTTTAAAAAGCAACGTAGGCTGGGCGCAGTGGCTCATGCCTTTAATTCCAGCACTGTAAGAGACGAAGGCAGGAGAACCACTTGAGTTCAAGACCAGCCTGGGCAACATAGCAAGACCTCATGTCTACTAAAAATTTAAAAATTGCTGGGCGCAGTGGCTCACGCCTGTAATCCCAGCACTTTGGGAGGCCGGGGCGGGTGGATCACTAGGTCAAGAGATCGAGACCATCCTGTTCAACAAGGTGAAACCCCGTCTCTACTAAAAATACAAAAATTAGCTGGGCATGGTAGCACGCGCCTGTAGTCCCAGCTACTCGGGAGGCTGAGGCAGGAGAATTGCTTGAACCCAGGAGGTGGAGGTTGCGGTGAGCCGAGATCGTGCTATTGCACGCCAGCCTGAGTAACAACAGCGAAACTCCGTCTAAAAAAAAAAAAATTTTTTTAATTGGCCAGGTATGGTGGTGCATGCCTGTGGTCCCAGCTACTTGGGAGACTGAGGTGGGAGGATTGCTTGAGCCCAGGAGGCCAAGGCTGCACTGAGCTGTAATTCGTGCCACCGCACTCCAGCTTGGGTGACAGAGCAAGACCCTGTCTCAAAAAAAGAAAAAAAGCTTGGCCGGGCGCAGTGGCTCACACCTGTAATCCCAGCACTTTGGGAGGCCAAGGCAGGGCGGATCATGAGGTCAGGAGTTCAAGACCAGCCAGACCAACATGGTGAAATCCCATCTCTACTAAAAATACAAAAATTAGCTGGGTGTGGTGGTGCATGCCTGTAGTCCCAGCTACTCAGGAGGCTGAGGCAGGAGAATTGCCTGAACCTGGGAGGTGGAGCTTGCAGTCAGCCAAGATTGTGCCACTACACTCCAGCCTGGGCGACAGAGTGAGACTGTCTCAAAAAAAAAAAAAAAAAGCTTAAGAAAAAACACTTAAAAATATGGTTGTTCTAAATATATTGTTTTGTAAACCCCCTTTTTTTTTTTTCATTTAATGTATCGTGGACATCTTTTCAGCTCTCTAGAAATCTAGCATGTCAAATGTGAAGTCATGGAGGAGGTGAGAAAGTGACTTAACCACAGCCTCCTGATACTGTATTTGAGTGGGATTTTTAGTGACTTCACATTCAACATTCATATAACAAATAATTAGTGACATCTGTAATATGCAAGGTACTGGGCCAGTTCTGGATGCAGTGAGGAGAAAGGAAGGCATGGTCCTGTCTATGACTTCCACTTCTTGTTTCTTTAGTCCCCTTTGATTAAGGGTGGCCTGTATTGGTATTTAATCTAGAACTTTGGACTGTTCTGGCTACAGGTTCAAGTGCTGGGGCTGGCAGTGGAGAATTCCACGTGTACAGACATCTGCGCCGAAGAGAATACCAGCGACAGGACTACATGGACGCCATGGCTGAGAAGGTCAGTGAGCCGGGAGGCTGGCTGAGCTGCCGTGTTTGGGTAGTGTGCATGTACTACCTTTAGAAAAAAGCATTTGGGAAAGCCAGGCACAGGGCTGATGCTTGTAATCCCAGCACTTTGGGAGGCCAAGGCGGGCAGATCACCTGAGGTCAGGAGTTCAAGACCATCTGACCAACATGGAGAAAACCTGTCTATACTAAAAATACAAAATTATCAGGGCTTGGTGGTAAGCGCCTGTAATTCCAGCTACTTGGGAGGCTGAGGCAGGAGACTCGCTTGAACCCGGGAGGCAGAGGTTGCGGTGAGCCGAGATCATGCCATTGCCCTCCAGCCTGGGCAACAAGAGCTAAACTTCATCTTCTTTTTATTTATTTATTTATTTTTTTGAGACGGAGTTTCACTCTTATTACCCAGGCTGGAGCGCAATGGCACGATCTTGGCTCACCGCAACCTCCGCCTACTGGGTTCAGGCAATTATCCTGCCTCAGCCTCCCAAGTAACTGGGATTACAGGCACGTGCCACCATGCCCAGCTAATTTTTTGTATTTTTAGTAGAGACGGGGTTTCACCATGTTGACCAGGATGGTCTCGATCTCTTGACCTCGTGATCCACCCGCCTTGGCCTCCCAAAGTGCTGGGATTACAGTCATGAGCCACCGCTCCCGGCTATTTTTAATTTTATTTATTTATTTTTTTCTTGAAGACAGGGTTTCACCATATTGGTCAGCCTGGTCTTGAACTCCTGACCTCAGGTGATCCGCCCACCTCAGCCTCCCAAAGTGCTGGGATTATAGGCGTGAGCCACCGCGCCCAGCTGAAACTTCATCTTGAAAAAAAAAAAAAAAAAGAGAAAGTAATTGAGGAAGAATAGATAGAGCTGGTTGTAGCTAGTGTGAGGTGTGCAGCACAGAACGCAGAGTCCAGGTAACCCCTCAGTCAGAATCAGAACAGCAAGATGCCCACACCAGGAGAGGGATGGAGAGTGAGAGTCGTCCTTGTGTATGGAAGGGCACGGCCGAGGCCTCTCTTCCCTGTATGCCGTTGGCCATGTGATAGAACAGCAGGTGGGATCCCCACACCGTTCGTCATTCTCCCTCTTTTTAGCTGAATGCCTAGATGCAGTTAGCTGTGCGTTTGGTGTGAACTGGCAGTGTGCTTTCCCTACTGCGAAAGTGCATATAGTATCTGCCTCTTGGAGCATTTGATTTTCCTAACTCTGGAGCTGGCATTTCTTTGTGACAGGTGTCAAATAATAGACTATTGTAAGATTATTATTAATCTGTAATAATTACAGGTTATTTGAGAATTGCTTAAGAAACCATATTTTGGGGCCAGGCGCGGTGGCTCAAGCCTGTAATCCCAGCACTTTGGGAGACCGAGGCGGGTGGATCACGAGGTCAAGAGATCGAGACCATCCTGGTCAACATGGCGAAACCCCGTCTCTACTAAAAATACAAAAAATTAGCTGGGCATGGTGGCGTGTGCCTGTAATCGCAGCTACTCAGGAGGCTGAGGCAGGAGAATTGCCTGAACCCAGGAGGCGGAGGTTGCGGTGAGCCGAGATCTCGCCATTGCACTCCAGCCTGGGTAACAAGAGCGAAACTCTGCCTCAAAAAAAAAAAAGAAACCATATTTTGGGAGCGTCATTGTTTCTTCAGACAGGGTCTTGCTCTGTCACCCAGGCTGGAGTGCAGTGGCAAACTTGGTTTACAGCAACCTCCACCTCGCAGGCTCAAGCAGTTCTCATGCCTTGGCCTCCCAAGGAGCTGGGATTACAGGTGTGCGTCACCATGCACAGCAAATTTTTGTATGTTTAGTAAAGACGGGATTTTGCCGTGTCGGCCAGGCTGGTCTCAAACTCCTGACCTCAGGTGATTCTCCTGCCTTGGCCTCCCAAATTACTGGGATTCGAGGTGTGAGCCACTGCGCCTGTCCTGCCCTGTCTTTCTGTTAATAGAAATCAAAGCTGGGTGTGATGGTGTGCGAGGTGCCACCTGGGTGGTACTTGTCTCTTTTGTCTTTTTTTACTTTTTTCTTTTGAGACAGAGCTTTGCTCTTGTTGCCCAGGCTGAAATGCAGTGGCACGATCTCGACTCACCGCAACCTCCACCTCGCTGGTTCAAGTGATTCTCCTGCCTCAGCCTCCCGAGTAGCTGGGATTACAGGTGGGCGCCACCACGCCTGGCTAATTTTTGTAGTTTTAGTGGAGATGGGGTTGTACCACATCGGTGAGGTTGGTCTGGAACTCCTTACCTCAGGTAATCCACCTGCCTCAACCTCCAAAAGTGCTGGGATTACAGGCGTGAGTAACTGCGCCTGGCCCAAATGCTTTAAAATGATATTTATTCATCTCCTTTTTATCAGAGAGGGAGCCACTTTATTAGCATTTGGCCTTCCAATAATGTAGTAAGATAAATTAGACTCTAGAGAATTTCTACCTAGAGGAAATAAAATGCTTTTAAAAATGAAACCAAGCAATAATTTTAAAATATTGTAATATGGCCAGGCGCAGTGGCTCACACCTGTAATCCTAGCACTTTGGGAGGCCGAGGCAGGCGGATCACCTGAAGTCAGGAGTTCAAGACCAGCCTGACCAACATGGTGAAACCCTGTCTCTAAAAAAATAAATAAATAAAATAAAATGTAATATTTAGCAATAAAAAAAGGAACAAACTATTGATCTGTACAACAACTGGGATGATTGTTTAAAACATGCTGTGTGAAAGAAGCCTCACACAAAAGAGACTATGTTGTGTAATTCCATTTATATGACGTTTTAGAGCAGATAAAATTAATCTGTGTGAGAAATAAAACTGGTTGCCTGGTTGGGGTCATGGTTGACTGGGAAAAGACAGATGAGGGGACTTTCTGGGGTTATCGAACTGTACACTCAAGATGTGGGCATTTGGTTCTGTGTAGATATTACTTCATTTTTTTGAGATGGAGTTTCACTCTTGTTGCCCAGGCTGGAGTGCAATGGCACGATCTCGGCTCACTGCAACCTCCACTTCCCGAGTTCAAGTGATTGTCTTGTTTCAGCTTCCTGAGTAGCTGGGATTACAGGTGCCCGCCACTACGCCCAGCTAATTTTTTTGTATTTTTAGTAGAGACAGGGTTTCTGTGTGTTGGCCAGGCTGGTCTTGAACTCCTAAAGTGATCCACCTGCCTCAGCCTCCCAAAGTGCTAGGATTACGGGTGTGAATCACTGCGCCTGGCCAGATATTACTTTAAAAGGAAAAAGAAAAGCATGCACAAACTTGAAACCCTGTTTAATGATATGCATGCTTAAATGCTCAAGAATGGAACGTCCTGATGTCTGTAGCTTACTTTGAAACGCACCCAAAAAATAAATAAATAAATAAATAAATAAAAAGACGAATTGGTAGATGAATAGAGCTCTCGGAGGGAGGAATTATAATTTTCCCTGTTTTATAGGTAAGGAAATTGAGGCTTGGAGATAGAGGACTGCTAGGAAGACATATACCAATAGAGATGTGGGTAGATCAATAGGTGTGTGATTAAGAAAATCTAGCAGAACAGGAATTGTTGAGTCAAGCATAGTGGGTATATGTGCTATATAATTCTTTTAACTTTTCTGTTTGAAATTTTCAAAATAAAACATTAGGGAAAATTTAAACCAGAGACAGTCAGGATACAGAAGAAAATATGTAAGAATTTATTGGAATGGCCAAAATTGAGTTAGAAAAAAAAATGTGCTTTTGAGGGCCACGTGTGGTGGCTCACGCCTGTAATCCCAGCAGTTTGGGAGGCCAAGGCGTTGGATCACTTGAGGGCAGGAGTTCAAGACCAGCGTGGCCAACATGGTGAAACCCCCGTCTCTACTAAAAATACAAACATTAACTAGGCGTGGTGCCGCACACCTGTAATCCCACCTACTTGGGAGGCTGAGTCAGGAGAATCGCTTGAGCTTGGGAGGTGGACGTTGCAGTGAGCTGAGTTAGTGCCACTGCACTCCAGCCTGGGTGATGGAGTGAGACACCATCTCAAAAAGAAAAAGGAAAAATCCTGCTTTGGGCACAGGATGGTCATTGGTGTGCTGGCTGTCGTCTGATACTTGCTTGTCCTGCAGCTTTTTCTGGCCCCTGGGTATTGGTGTTTCTTCTTGTTCCTGCCTTCTTCTGTTAACAATCTCAATCCTAGTGAGAAATATTAGACAGTTTGTCACAAAACTATACCAGGTTACTGCAGTGGGTTTGCCTGTCAAGAATAATGCTCTGGTGTGGAAACCATCAAGCTGGGTGCAGTGGCTCATGCCTGTAATCCCAGCACTTCGGGAGGCCAAGGTGGAAGGATCACTTGAGCCCAGGAAACATGGCAAGACCCCATCTCTACAAAGAGTACAAAGATTAGCCAGATGTGGTGGCACCCACCTGTAGTCTACTCAAGAGGCTGAGGTGGGAGGATTGCTTGAGCCTGGATGGTCAAGGCTGCAGTGAGCTGTGACCATGTCACTGGACTCTTGCCTGAGTGAACAAGACCTTGTCTCGAAAAAAAAGAAAAGAAACTGCTATCAGAAACATTTTTATTTTTATAAACTATTTTAGAGGGGAGGACATTAGACCAGGTTGCTGTCTCGGACATTGTAAGTTAGTCTGAAGTTTTACATATTGATTATAGATTCAGAGAAAATACAGAAAAATGTTTCAGAAACCTTGGCCTTCTCTCTCTTTTTTTTTTTTTTTTTCTTTTTCTTTTTTTTATCTTTTATTTTATGAGAAACCTTGGCCTTCATGCAAATGCAAAGACCTTTATTTTGGATGGCAAAAGACAGTCTCAGATTTAAAAAAAAAAAAAAAAAAAAACTGGTGGTGGGGAAGAGTCCTCATTTTTAGTAACAGATCACCTCCATCAGAGCCCAGTTCCACTCACCCCTGCTTGAGACATTGCCTCTGCCAGGTGCGGCAGCCAGCTGGGGCTCTGTTTAGTTCACTTGCTGGGAAATTCGGCTTCTTCAGCAGCACAGAGTAAGATTTTCACAACTCAGCTTCTTCTTTTTTTTTTTTTCTTTAATTCCAGCAGAGTCTCCCTCTGTCACCTCAGCTGGAGTTTGATCTTGGCTCACTGTAGCCTCTGCCTCCTGGGTTAAAGCAAGTTCTCATGCCTCAGCCTCCCGAGCAGTTGGGATTACAGGTTCCTGCCACCACGCCTGGCCGATTTTTGTATTTTCAGTAGAGATGGGGTTTCACCGTGTTGCCCAGGCTGGTCTTGAACTCTGGACTTCAGGTGATCCACCCTGCTTCAGCCTCCCAATGTGCTGGATTACAGGCATGAGCAACGGCACCCAGCCTTCACAGCTCAGCGTCTAAGCGAACCAGGTTCTTTTAGATTTAAGTCATTTGCTTTCTGGCTTGTTCAGAAGGTTGATTAATTAAAGTCGATTTCCTTCCTGAAGGAATATTTTCTGCCCTCAGAGAGGGGCTTGTTTTGTTTGGTTCTGTGCCGCTCTAAGCAGATGCGCGCAGCCCTGGTGGTGCAGACCAGCAGAGGTGTTGAACGTACCTCTTCCTCCTTTGCTGGCTCCTTTTTTGCTCCATTGCCCTTTATGGTTGTGACCAGAAGAAATGAGAGATGACGCTTTGAGTCATTTGATGTCTTTGTAGTTTACAGGTGCTTTTCTATGGACTGTCTTATTTCATTATCCTTTTTTTTTTCTTTTTTGAGACATGGTCTTCCTCGGTTGCCAGACCGGAGTGTGGTGGTGTGATTTCCGCTCACTACAACCTCTTCCTTCTGCGTTCAAGCGATTCTCCTCCCTCAGCCTCCCGAGTATCGGCCTCCCAAAGTACTGGGATTTACAAGCATGAACCACCACGCCCAACCCTTATTTCATTATTCTTCCTAACAGCTCTGGGAGAGAGGAATTATAATTTCCCCCATTTTATAGATGAGAAAACTGAGGCTTGGAAACAGAACTGAGAAGAAGTAATGCAGTCGATAGAAATATACGTGTGGGTGCGGGTGTGTGTTTAGCAGCAGGTGGCATGTGTCACACTGCTTTAGAATCTGTCATTTGGTGGCTGGGCACAGTGGCCTGTAATCTCATCACTTTGGAGGCTAAGGTAGAAGGATCCTTTGAGGCCAGGAGTTTAAACCCAGCCTGGTCAACATAGCCACACCTGTCTCTACAAAATAAACATAAAAATTAGCCAGATCTAATGGCATGCACCCATAGTCCCAAGTACTCAGGAGACTGAGACAGGAGAATCTGTTGAGTCCAAGAGTTCAAGGTTGTAGTGAGCTTTATTGTGCCATTGCGCTCCAGCCTAGGTGACAGAGTAAGACCTTGTATCACCAAAAAAACAAAAACAAAAACAAAAACAAAACCTCAGCCGTTTGGTAACTGTGAGGTTAGAGCTTGAAAATTCCGTGGTTCTGACCCTCCAGCCATTCCTTCTGATGAGCCCTGGTCCATATCTGAGGCCCCAGCTAAGCAGACGGTGCTGCCCCTGCCCGTAAGGTGTCTTCTGCACTCCCTCCCATACTGTCTCCTAGATCATGTGTGCATGAGGGGTATCTCAAATCAACTGAAAGAGTTACTTCACCATCAGAGAGCTGTGGTTTGATTACCAGCCCTGCCTCTGGGGCAGCCTTCTAAAGTTAAAATGGCCCTGGAGACCCGGGTAGTGCCTCTAGCACCCCCAATGGCATGACTGCTAGAACTCTCCTACTCAGCCTGAGCAAAAACCTTCCACAGTCTACCCAGACCTAGCTGTGTCTAAATGATGTGGGTTTTGTTGCAGCAAAAATTGGATGCAGAGTTTCAGAAGAGACTGGAAAAGAATAAAATCACTGCAGAGGAGCAGACTGCAAAGCGCCGGAAGAAGCGGTAAGAGGCATGGCCTAACTGTGGTGATTAAGGGCCGGGGGTGGGAACAGGGCTGGGTGAGCTGAGTCCTTGCAGTCAGTAGTAGTTCCCTTGCATGACCGGTAGGGGTCACGAGTGTAGAGCAGTGCCTTCTACAGACCTGAACAGAGCAAGTTCCATAGGACCCTCCAGCTGGTTACAGATTGTCCAGAGCTTGCAAGTCAGGATTTTAGTGATCACATTGATTTCTGTGTCTCCTTCATGTCTGTTTTTTTTTGAAGCAAAGTCTCACTGTGACCCCCAGGCTGCGTGCAGTGCCATGATCTCAGCTCACTGCAACCTCAGCCTCCTGGGTTCAAGTGATTTTCCTGCCTCAGCCTCCCAAGTAACTGGGATTACAGGTGCCCACCACCATGCCTGGCTAATTTTCTTTCTTTTTTTTTTTTTTTTTTTTTTGAGACGGAGTTTCGCTCTTGTTGCCCAGGCTGGAGTGCAATGGCGCAATCTCGGCTCACCGCAACCTCCACCTCCTGGGTTCAGGCAATTCTCCTGCCTCAGCCTCCTGAGTAGCTGGGATTACAGGCACCCGCCACCATGCCCAGCTAATTTTTAGTATTTTTGGTAGAGACGGGGTTTCACCATGTTGACCAGGATGGTCTCGATCTCTTGACCTCGTGATCCACCCGCCTCGGCCTCCCAAAGTGCTGGGATTACAGTCATGAGCCACCGCGCCCGGCCTAATTTTCTTATTTTTGATACAGACAGGATTTCACCATGTTTCCCTGGCTGGTCTCAAAACTCCCAACCTCAGGTGATCCACCTGCCTCGGCCTCCCAAAGTGCTGGAATTATAGGCATGAGGCATCACACCTGGCCTAAAAATGTATTTTTTTTTTTTTTTTTTGAGACGGAGTTTCGCTCTTGTTACCCACGCTGGAGTGCAATGGCACGATCTCGGCTCACCGCAACCTCCACCTCCTGGGTTCAGGCAATTCTCTTGCCTCAGCCTCCTGAGTAGCTGGGATTACAGACACGTGCCACCATGCCCAGCTAATTTTTTGTATTCTTAGAGACGGGGTTTCACCATGTTGACCAGGACGGTCTCGATCTCTTGACCTCGTGATCCACCCTCCTCGGCCCTCCAAAGTGCTGGGATTACAGGCTTGAGCCACCGCGCCCGGCCAAATATATATTTTTTAAAAAGCATCCTCTTTATTTCTGAGGTTGCTTTGCCTCAGGGCTCCCTGGGATTTGCTCTTGAATCCTAATAGAAGCAGCTGAGAAGGATGGACTGGCAGAGTCGTGCAGAAGTATTCAATTGGTGCAAAAGTAACTGCAGTTTTGGACCATGAATTTTAAATCGTTATAACTAGGCTCAAAAACGTCTTTATTAATCAAAATAGGAACCATTACAATCAACATATTTTTGCCAGCGAGACATAGGTTGGTTTATTCCTGTAATGTAAAAATCCATGCTTCGGGATTTGATGAACTCTCGGAAAGCATTTTGAGTCCTTCTGGCTGTGGAAGTGCTTTCCCTGCAGAAAGTGGTCGAGGTGCTTGAAGAAGTGGTAGTCGGTTGGTAAGAAGTCAGGTGAACGGTGGATCAGGCAAAACTCGTTGTTCAACCTTTGAAGCGTGGGCTGTGCACCGTGCAGTCGGGTGTTGGCGTGGAGAAGAATTGGGCCCCTTCTGTTGCCAGCTACAGGCGCTGGAGTGTTCGGTGCAGCTCATCGATCTGCCGAGCATTCTCCAGTGTTCCCTGGGATTCAGAAAGCTGTAGTGGATCAGGCCAGCAGCCGACCACCAAATAGTGACCATGACCTTCTTCTGGTGCAAGTTTGGCTTTGGGAAGTGCCTTGGAGCTGCTTCTTGGTCCAGCCACCGAGCTGGTTGTCACCAGTTGTCACGTAAAATCCATTTTTCATCGCACGTCAAAATCTGATTGAGAAATGGTTCATTGTTGTTGCGTAGAGTAAGCGAAGATGACACTTCAAAATGACGATATTTTTGATTTTCGCTCAGCTCAGGAGGCACCTGGTTTCGAGCTTTTTCATCTTTTCAATTTGCTTCAAATGCTGAGCAAACATAGAATGGTCAACGTTGAGTTCTTTGGCTGCTTCTCGTGTGGCTATAAGAGGATCAGCTTCGGTGATTGCTCTGGATTGGTCATTGTCAGCTTCCAGTGGCCGGCTACTGCACTCCTCGTCTTCAGGGCTCTTGTCTCTTTGGCAAAACTTCCTGACCCACCACTGCACTGTACATTAGTTAGCAGTTCCTGGGCCAAATGCATCGATGTTGTGAGTTGTTGCCATTGCTTTATGGCCCATTTTGAACTGGAATAAGAAAATCACTTGAATTTGCTTTTTGTCTAACTTAATCATTTCAGTAGTCTAAAGTAATCATAAAATAAACAGCAAATAATAAGGCATTAGCAAAAAAAAAAAAAATCCGGAAGTACCCATTGAAATGACGTATAATATAACCACATTTATTTAATAATGTATTCCAATATAAAACAGCAAATTCCAACAATGCAAAAACTGCAGTTAACCTTTGCACTCACCTAATGTTTCTCTTATTTTTGTCATTGTAATGTTTGTGCTACTCCACAGATTTTAAAGATACCATAAAGAGGTGTTTATTTTCTTTTTTTTTTCCTTTTTTATTTTTTTTTAAAGATGGGGTTTCACCGTGTTGACAAGGCTTATCTTGAACTCCTGACTTCAGGTGATCTACCCGCCTTGGCCTCCCAAAGTGTTGGGATTATAGGCATGAGCCACTGTGCCCAGCCGGAAGTGTTTATTTTCTAAGAAATACCATAAGGTAGTGAAGGCATCAATGTTTATGGTTTTATATTTTTAGCCAGAAGTTAAAAGAAAAGAAATTACTGGCAAAGAAGATGAAACTTGAACAGAAGAAACAAAAAGAAGGTGAGTGGTGCCCACTTTTCCTGGCTGTAGCTTCTTTCTTGTTGTTGGTCACAGTGGCTGAACTGTCAGGAAACACTGGGATGAAGGGTTTGGGCTGGCTGGCTGGCCACTGAAGAAACAGCAGCTCATTCATGTTAGCTAGGACCCATTTAATTGCAAGTATCAGAAAACCAAACTGGCTTAAGCAAAAAGATACTGGCTCAAGGTTTAGTTCGAGGACAGACCTCCCTTTGGGCATGGCTGGTCAGAGAGATCAGGGGCATTGCTGGTTGTTGCCATCTCCTGCTCTGTCCTGGTGTCCTGTCCTCAGGCAACTCACACCCCCTTGTGGTTTTGAGGTGCCTGCAGCAGCTCTGGGGCTACATCCTGCCTCGATCCTGTCCAGGAGGGAAGATTGAAAGGGCATCTCAGCTTTCCCAGCAAAAGTCTTTTTATGTCTCTGGCTCTGACCGAGTCATTTGCCAGGTCAGTTAAGGATGCTTTTGGCTACAGGCAACAAAACGCGGCCAACAAAATGCCTAAACCAAGAGGAGTTGGGTTTTTTAGAGGATGAGAAATCCGGTGGTAGGTGGCAGCCTGAGGTGACTGTGCCAGTGTGGGATGGCACCCCTGAGGGTGCAAGGTGGCTGCCATGGCTTCTGGCACAGTACCTGTGTTCAAAGCAGGAAGAAGGGGAGTGAGGTGGTACTTTCGTGGTCTGCCCTTTTTAAATCGGAGAGTAAAATTTCTCCAGAAGTGCCCAGAAGACGTCACCTTAAATACTAGGTCACTTTGCCATCCCTAGCTGCTATCAGGCTGGAGGAATAGAAAACAGAACTGTTATAACCGACTCAAGCCTATTATGATCCGGCACTGTGAGCTGAGAGCATTGCCACCCTAGCCAGATTTGAGGTCCCGTTAATAAGGAAGAATCGGGGGCGGGCTGTTCGGCTCAGCATCCCACCATGCTGCCAATCCTGCTACCTCTGAACCCATCACAACACTAGGGTTGCCATCTGCCATCCCTGGGAACCCATGGGCTGAGGATAAAGGATGGGGGCCCCAGCTGGAAAGGGCCAAAGATGCTAAGAGACCAGAAATGACACTCCTCTGCGTGACTGAATCTGTGGCTATTCCGTTTGACCAGGCCTGCTGCCTGAGTACATGATTGTGGTTTTTGGTCTTAGGGTGAAGTCAGACTTATGACATATTAAAATATGATTGATCCAGGGGATGGTGGCCCATACCTGTAGTCCCAGCTACTTGGGAGGCTGAGGCAAGAGAATTGTTTGAACCCAGGAGGCTGAGGTTGCAGTGAGCCACCACAGTCGTGCTACTGCACTCCAGCCTAGGAAACGAGTAAAACTCCATCTCAAAAAAATAGGCCAGGTGTGGTGGCTCGTGCCTGTAATCCTAGCACTTTGGGAGGCCAAGGCGGGCGGATCACATGAGGTCTGGAGTTTGAGACCAGCCTGGCCAACATGGTGAAACCCCATCTCTACTACAAATACAAAAACTAGCTGGGTGTGGTGGCAGGTGCTTGTAATGTCAGCTACTCAGGAGACTGAGGCGGCAGAATCACTTGAACCCGGCAGAATCACTTGAACCCGGGAGGAGGAGGTTGCGATGAACCGAGATTGCACCATTGCGTTCCAGCCTGGGTGACAGGAGTGAAACCTTGTCTCAAAAATAAATAATTAAAATAATTAAAACAAAAATAAAGGCCAGGCAAAGTGGCTCACGCCTGTAATCCCAGCACTTTGGGAGGCCAAGGCGGGTAGATCAGCAGAGCTTGGGGGTTCAAAACCAGCCTGACCAACATAGAGAAACCCTTGTCTCTACTAATAATACAAAATTAGTCAGGCGAGGTGGTACATGCCTGTGATCCCTGCTACTCAAGAGGCTGAGGCAGGAATATCACTTGAGCCTGGTAGGCAGAGGTTGCGGCGACCCAAGATTATGCCATTGCACTCCAGCCTGGGCATCAAGATCAAAACTCTGTCTGAAATATATAAATACAAAATATGATTGGCCACTTCTAGGGACTGCTTCCTTATGAGTTGTGCTGTATGACATATAGTTTTAGGTTGTTTCTCGCCCTTTCCTGGAAGAAATTATTTTAAGCTACTAAAATGTGACTGATAGGACTTCATTCCTCAAAGAAAGTACTTCATCATTTTCCCTTCCGCTGCAACAGTAGATCGTGGAAGTACTTGGCCCAAGTAGGAGGATTGGGCATAAAAGCTATTCCCACAATCTGTTGAGGGGGTAATGTAACTTGGACCTGTTATATTTGGAAATAGAGGTCAGGCGCAGTTGCTCACACCTATAATCCCAACACTTGGTAGGCCAAGGCAGGAGGATCACTTGAGGCCAGGAGTTAAAGACCAGCCTGGGCAGCATAGCAAGACCCCATCTCTACATACAATAAAAAATCAGCCACCGGGCGCAGTGGCTCACACCTGTAATCCCAGCACTTTGGGAGGCGGAGGCGGGTGGATCACGAGGTCAAGAGATGGAGACCGTCCTGGTCAACATGTTAAAACCCCATCTCTACTAAAAATACAAAAAATTAGCTGGGCATGGTGGCGCACACCTGTAGTCCCAGCTACTCGGGAGGCTGAGGCAGGAGAATTGCTTGAACCCAGGAGACGGAGGTTGCAGTGAGCCGAGATCGCACCATTGCACTCTAGCCTGGGTAACAAGAGCGAAACTCTGTCTCAAAAAAGAGAAAAAAAAAAAAAATCAGCCAGGCATGGTGGTGCACACCTGTGGTCCCAGCTTTTTGGGAGGCTGGAACAGGAGGATTCCTTGAACCCAGGAGTTCAAGACTAGTCTGGATGACATAGTGAGACCGTGTCTCTACAAAAAATTTAAGAATTAACCAGGTGTCGGCCGGGCGCAGTGGCTCAAGCCTGTAATCCCAGCACTTTGGGAGGCCGAGGCGGGTGGATCACGAGGTCAAGAGATCGAGACCAGCCTGGTCAACATGGTGAAACCCCGTCTCTAATAAAAATACAAAAAATTAGCTGGGCATGGTGGCGTGTGCCTGTAATTCCAGCTACTCAGGAGGCTGAGGCAGAAGAATTGCCTGAACCCAGGAGGCGGAGGTTGCGGTGAGCCGAGATCGTGCCATTGCACTCCAGCCTGGGTTAACAAGAGCGAAACTCCGTCTCAAAAAAAAAAAAAAAAAAAGAATTAATCAGGTGTCGTACATGCCTGTTGTCTTAGCTACTCTGGAGGCTGAGCCAGGAGAGTCATCTGAGCCCAGGAGGTCAACGCTGCAGTGAGCCATTATTGTGCCACTGCACTCCAGACTGGGCAACAGAGCAAGATTCTGCCTCAAAAAGAAAAAAAAATGGCCTCCTTTGCTGAGTAATTTGACCTTCTCTTCTCAGGGTTTGTTGGTTTTGCTGCTTATCATTGTCATTGTTGCTATTTGTGTGTTTAGTGACTTCCCTAATGAATTCTATAAAACCTGTATTCTTTGTTGTGTTTGGACTCTGAAGTCTGCTCGGTCAGCTGGGTTGTCAGTGGAAGATGAGAGATTTCTCTGAATGTCTTGAACCTCCATGTCTTTGCCAAGGAGCTCTATGTGTGTGTGGAATGTGCCTCCAACCCCCGCCAGGCAGTCTGCCATTTGTTGTTGCCTTTACTTCCTGCTTGCACGGAGCCTCTAGGGCAGCAGAGGTGAGAGGTCAGGGCCTCAGCTGTTTTTCTTGGACATGTGCACTGCTCTGGTGGTCCCTTGGAGTCCCAGCTTTTTCTTTTAAGCTTTTTGGTCAATTTCTTGTCTGCATCAGTTGTTACTGCTGTCTTGGTCAGTGGGATGTTAAACAGTTGTCACTGATGGTTTTTGACACACCCTTCCCCACCCCAGGGGAAAGAGCTTTTGACACTGAGTGAGCTCAACTCAATGCAGAGTCAGATCAACTAAAGACAAGCCTTGCAGGTAGATGTTTCCAGGGAGCCACTAGACCGGTCAGCCAGGGCCAGTGCTCTAGGGATGGAACTTCCAACAGCTCCCAGCCCAATCATCCGACTCCCGTTTTTTACAGCCACTGTGGCAGGGGTGGGAGGGCTCTTGTCTTTCAAGGCTCCCTCAGATCTGGGGACAGGGAGCCAGGAAATTCAATCCCACAGAGTTCATGCTCTTAGTGAGGTTCAGGGATTTGAATAGTCCGAGGTGCATTTCCAGAGTTCTGAAAAAGTTGATTTTTAGGATTTTTGCCAGTGTTCTGTTACCTTTATGGAGGAGCAGATTTTTGGAGGTCCCTGCTCTGCCATTCATCCGTTTTTCTTTTTTTCTTTTCTTTTTTTTTTTTTTTTTTTGAGACGGAGTTTCGCTCTTGTTACCCAGGCTGGAGTGCAATGGCGCGATCTCGGCTCACCGCAACCTCCGCCTCCTGGGTTCAGGCAATTCTCCTGCCTCAGCCTCCTGAGTAGCTGGGATTACAGGCACGCACCACCATGCCCAGCTAATTTTTTGTATTTTTAGTAGAGACGGGGTTTCACCATGTTGGCCAGGATGGTCTCAATCTCTTGACCTCATGATCCACCCGCCTCAGCCTCCCAACATGCTGGGATTACAGGCATGAGCCACTGCGCCCGGCCTATTCGTCCCTTTTTCAAATAGCACTGAAGTGTGTTTCTTGTGTCAAATGTTTGGGTCTTGTTGTGAGTTTTGTTTTTGTTTTTGTTTTTGTTTTTTTGAGACAGTCTCTCTCTTGCCCAGGCTGGAGTGCAGTGTCACAATCTTGGCTCACTGCAACCTCTGCCTCCCGGGTTCAAGTAGTTCTCCTGCTTCAGCCTCCTGAGTAGCTGGGATTACAGGTGCACGCCAACACGCCTGGCTAATTTTTTTTTTGTATTTTTAGTAGAGACGGAGTTTCACCATGTTGGTCAGGGTGGTCTAGAACTCCTGACCTCATGATCCACCCGCCTCAGCCTCCCAAAGTGCTGGGATTAGGTGTGAGCCACCGTGCCCAGACTGGGTATTGTTTTCTAATTCATTCTGACAG